GATGGGGGTGCTGCAGCCCTCTCAGCACCCCCCCCCCTTCCCGCGTCCATTCGCGATGTCTCGCAGATCCCACGCAGCAAGCAGGAAATGAACCCAGCTCACACTGTCCGCTCCTTGCAGCAGCGAGCCGCGCAAGGTCCCGCCAACAAGACCCCACGCAGCATTCTCATCTGTTTGTCATTACTGGTGTCATTTTCTAGTTGCTAACGCCATTGTAACACATAATCACTGATGTTCCGCTGTAACGGTGGTAGACTCATCAGAACAGAGTGGGCGAGCTGACCAATCAGAGCACACTGGGCTCACAGGGAGGGGGGGGCAGGAGCTCCAAAACATACTGATACTATGCAGAGACGCTGTATGAGAAACCAATAGGCGCGTTCACACCAGAGTACTTTTACCCCATACTTTTCCCGTTTAGTTCCGTTAGTACCCTTGGTGTCGCGTTCACACCAAAGAGAGTACTTAGTGCCGGGAACTTTCACCCCCATTTTCAGTGCCTGCTAGAGAGGTGGTACCAAAAAAGTACCAACAAAGTACCAATTTCTATTGGCTGGGCGAATTGCAAACCACGCCCCGTAAAACTCTGAAAAGTTTTTTGAAGCCGTCATTCTATTTGCTCGCATTAGCATTATTAGCATTAGCCCCGCGCACCAACGGAGAGAGAATAACTTATGGCAACACAAAAAAAAACATGGGAGCGGTGGAGTTATGAGGAGGTGTCTGCTTTCTGGCGATTTACTCGGAAGGCTTCAGTAGAAGCTGCTGGGAGTCCCAGCAGCTTCTACTGAAGCCAGTCCCCAACTCCGGGGACTTCCGGACGGGGACTTAGGGCGGCAGTATACGTTTGCGGCCTGCCAGTAAACCCAAAGCAGAAGAAGACAAAGTGACGTCAGCGGCTCATTTGCGTAATCTTCCCTCAGGGAAAAGTATTCCGGTGTGAACGCGATTGGTACTTAGTGCCCTGGGGTAATGAGTGCCGGGGCACTAAGTGCCGGGGCACTAAGTACGGGAAAGTACTTGGTGTGAAAGCGGCTAATGTGAGTTTGGAAAATTGCACAATGTAAATCTATTTTAGTAGACCTCAACAATGGAATTAGGATCAGTAGAAATGGCCATGACATGGGACCTTTAAAAACACAACATATCTTGTTCATGCCTCCGATGATTGTCTATCACTATTTGTATCTTGGCAAAGATCTGGATCCAGACGCACTTGATGGGAAATGAAATAGGTTGCCTATTTTGAAAGAATAGGACAAAAAGACGTGATATTTCCAGCTACAAAAAATATGGGCCAGTATGTAGTTCAGCTTTTACTAAAATGTTTGTCTGGAAAACATCCCCGGACAATATAAAGTAAAATAAGATAACCCTTTATTAGATAGAGCCTTGAATCTGGAAGCCTCTGTAGTGACTAATTGATGCAGCTCTGCAAGTAAAACAAGTACATTTATCTGAGTCTTTTCAGACAATATGTCTTTGCTGCCTTTGCAAGGCTAAAGCAAACTAAAACCTTTGGCACAAACTAATACTAAAAATGCTTTTTACCTAAAGGCAAAATAATTAAATATCATAATAACAATTACTGGTTTGGATAAGTGTAGTTGCTTGTAATATTTACTGCTTCAGCTCCCAAAGGTAACCTATCACTAAACTCAGACCCGACCTCACAGTTGTCTAAGTTCCCCCTGCACTGAGACAGAGAAAAGGACTCAGTCATCACACTTTCTTCTGTATCCGCCTCTTTGTCCTCGTCTCTGCTCTCCGTGTCCCCCTCCTCCTCGTCCAGCTGGCTTCCATTAATCTTCCTCCGGGACTCGGTGTGAGGTGCCCTGAAGTTAGGGGCGAGGTTCCTCTCCATGTGGTACTGATCTTTGGCCTTCAGGATCAGCTTGTAGGTCTTGCTGCGGTATTTGTACACCAGGTGGAAGCACGTTGCACCGAGGAGAGGCACGGTGGACACGGTCAGGAGGCAGATGCTGACGGAGATGATGATGAGCAGGTTAGGTACCCTCCTCCTGGTGCTGAACAGAACCTGGACCTCACAGTCCTCCCCTCTGTACGTCAGACACAGGGAGTAGTTGGTGTCGGGACGTAAACCACTGAACATATACGTGTTGACGCCATCTTTGATTCTTGACCACTGCACGGCCGAGTGTCTGAGATCAGCAGCAACGCACAGATACAAGCCATTTGAGTTTTTACCGACAGCAGAAAGGCCGTGATGCTTTTCACTGTCAATGTGGAAGCTCTCATTAGACGTTGCGGCAGTTTTTGGGGCTTGGTTGATGCCACTGTCTCTCGGTATGAGAAGAGGATTGAGTCGCACTGTTGCCTCTGTTTCTGACACCCCTAATGCAATAACTCCAAAGTCAAATGTGTACTGCTTGAAATCTTCCACGCTCTCATTAAAGACATGACTAGAAATGTATCTTGTGTTAGCAGTCAAGCCACATTTACTAGCATGTGATGGGGATGTTGTTGACTCCTCAGAAGACTTGATCTCCACAGTGGGCGGGAAAGTAGGTACTACTTTAATTAAGTCTTTTGTCTTGATATCAAAGTGATGCACAGAATCCAAAAACAATGGTTTGCCTGTTGTTTGGCGTAGAGATGGGTGCGTTTTACTAAAAACAGGCGTCGTGGTAATTGGTTTTCTTGGTGTTGGTTTAGGTAAAGCCACCACGTCCACTGACACAGAAACCTCGCTTCTTCCAAACTCATTTGTGGCCGAGCAGCTGTAGTTGCCACCATCTTCTTTCCGGATGTGTGAAATGATAAGAGTGCCATTGTTAAAGACTTTGAAAGGATTATAGGACATCATGGAGTCCTCTTTCGATTCTGCTGAGTCATCCTCAGTGAAGGACAACACAAGCTCTTGCCTCTGGTTTTTGCTTTGGATATTCCACATGACCAGAGGTTTTGGATTTCCTACAAATTCACAAGTCAAGACCAACACACCGCCCTCGTGGAAAATCATGTTGTGGACATTTGGCTTGATTTGTATTGTCACGTTCGGGCTTGTGCACTTTGACTCAGGCAACTTTCCAATCAGTTCTCCTCTAAGTTTGGGTGGAGTTGCACAAGTGATTAAATTCTGCTCTGGGACCGTGATCATGGTCTTTGAAATCCAGTCTCTGAGCCAGTCGAGGGAGCAGGTGCATGCAAAAGGATTTTCATATACCTGCAAGTGGGACAAAGACACCAAACCGTCAAACGTCCCATCAATTATCGTAATGAAATTGTTATTGTTGAGTCGGAGTGACCTCAGGTCTTTGAGGTTGTAGAAGGCTTCCCTCGGCAGGTGGACCATCTCGTTGTGGTTCATCTTCAGCAGATGCAGGCCTGTGAGGTTCTGCAGATCCTCCCAAGGGAATTCTACGATTCTATTGTGGCTGATGTCAAAGTTACGCAGATGAACCAAAGGTGTGAGAGTCCCTTCTTCGATTGTGACGATCTCATTGTGGGCCATCCACAGCGATGTCACCCGAGTGACATTGTCAAAGCTCCCCAACTGTATCACACTGATCTTGTTAGCGGACAGACTCACAGTCGTCACATTAGCAGGCAAACCTTCCGGTACCTCAGCTAGGTCTTTGTAGGAGCATTCAGCAAAGTGGCGGCCATATTTATCTGTGCAGGAACAGAGCGCAGGGCATCCGAGTCCAGTGGGAAAGACTGTGGCCATCCACAAAGTGAAGAGGATACCTGCGGCAGCCATTTTCTGTAAAAGAAAAGCGTCACAATCCATGTTTCGATCATTGGATTAATCTATTTAGCATATATAATGCAGCATGATTAAAGATAATATTTTTAGGAATTTAAAAGAAACAGGTTTTGGCATTAAGAAAGTAAGCACAGAAACAAAGACTAGCTCTGCTTCAGCCCTTGGAAATGACAGAGCAGAAAATGGACCCTGACAGGTTTCCATTTTCAGTGGCAGATTCATACATCATTTAGAGAATCTCCCATTTAGATCTTAAACAAACTGAAAGCTGTGTAAATGATAATAACTATACAAAACAGCTGATCCACAGTGATGGAGCCTCATTCAAGATAGTGAACAAAATAAAGGGAACACAAGAAGTTTTAAAAGCTCATCCGCTAACAAGGTCATAGATCATAGTTTAGGATTATTTTACTGGCAAACTGAATAGAAATAAAGAAAAATTAAAGGAAAATCTTCATGTTTACAGTGTTTCTCCCTTCTGGTCGGATCTAGTCATGAAGAACATAATGTTGCTCTTTCATTTGAAGGGGTGTTGTACCATTTAGTTCTGATATAATGAAAAAGCTTTTAAGATGCGTCATTGGCTGAAAACTTGCTGTAACTGGAATTGTGAGCTCACTGATTTTGGTTTCTTAATGAAGATTCATTTTTATTTTCAGTGCAGCCTTAGCTCCTTAGTGGTAAAAAAATTTATGCAAATAAGACAATAATTTAGGTTGTTTTCTTCACCACTGCCTCTGATATTGATGCCTACCCATTTACATAAACTCTTACCTGTGCATTATCCAGAGTAACAAGAAAGAGATTGACTGTAAACTCTTTTTTAATGATTCAATTATGTGAGCACTGCAAGATAAATCTCTGTCTCTGATATCCAAATACCTGGATACAAATCAAAACCCCTATCTGGATGGCCAGAGATAAGAATCAACCGTTTTTGTCAGATACTGGGAGTTGCTAGACATTTCAAGATCCTTATTATTCTTATCAGTTTATATCCACCTTACAGTATCATCCTGATTTTCCATATTGTACATTTCCTATTTTCGTCTTTTCTTACGGAGAGTCAGGATATAAAGTGTTTTTAAAAGCTCATACCTCTTATGATAATATGACAGATTATGTATTTAATTGTTATTCTCTTCCTGTTGAAAAAACAGCTACTGTAAATTAACATGTAAGTCTGACAGAGGAAATCACCCACCTCATACCTTGTGGTTTCTAGGAAAACAAAAAAAACTCACAGCTCAACCCAAAAGAGATTTGAGATGTTGGCTTTGAATCTTAAAACAACCTCTCGCCGATAAACTAATATAACTGCCTCTAATTCACAGAGGGAGCATTGAAGCGGTATGCTGTGTTGCCAGTTCTGCATCTGGTTTCTCCCTACGCAGCAGCGTCCGGTGTTTTGTCCTTGGTGCTGAAAGCCAGCCGCATGTCTGCTCTGTTTGTTTACAGCTGTCTACTGCGTGGCATGCAAACCTTTACCATTATCTGCTTTACTCTATCTGTAAAATAAAACACCATAACTGTCAATGTAATCTGACGCCGCAGGATCGAAAGTTCATCCCCGAAAAAGACCTGACGTGAATAATTGATGCGGGGAGAATAGAGGATGCAATAGGAGCACACAACTGAGTGACATGCTTACCTGCGTTAGTGTTTTTGTTTATCTCTGCAGAAAAATCCGAACAAGTCAGCCGGTGTGTGCAGTCAGAGCAGGATACATGCTGGATTCAAGTGTGAATGTGAAGCTGAGTCCATCTGTTAGTCTGCGTCTACATGGTGGAAACGTGTGGTATCATCTGCCTGTGCATCTGTCATTCTGAGGTAAACCCCATGTCTCCTCCCCTCCTCATAGCTCTGGACAGAACAGTATCGACGCTTCCAAAAAATATTTTAAAGGGGAAACGACTTTAAATACGACCGTCACCGTCTGCATTAACAGGAGGGGAGGACTGATGTGATGTCTGGCTGTCGCTATGAACAGGAACATATGCTACTAAATATACTAATTCAAAGTTTGTTTTACAAGTTTATACACAGGGAAGTTTTGAGGGTGTGGATGTAAGGAAGTCCAATTAGTCATCTCTGCTGCAGGGTAAAAGCTACAGTAGCCTAGGACTGCATTATGGGTAATGTATGCGCCATGTTTGAAAAACACAAACATTTCTTTGCATTGTTTTTTTAATTGAACGCATGTTAAATTTAGCCTATTTTAGGGTAGTCTACTATTTTAAGGAAAGACAAACATAATAGCAGGCATTTTTAAGGTGCACTAATCCATGTGTTATGTTAAAGAGTTAGTATTGTAATTAGGTATTGCACTTCTAATATTGACTTTAGATTAAACAAAACGATGGTAAAAAATCTAGCAGCAGATATTCCTACTTCAAGTCTCTATTTATAGGTCCTGCCAGGCAGTCTCTCAGCCTGTTAATCTTTCTCTGTGTAATCAAGCTATGTGAAAACAAAGCTTGATTATAATAAGATTTACTTCAGGGCTGTTTTCATTGTAATAGGCACACCTGATCATGTTATTGTGTCCTCATAGTATCATAGCGACAAAAGATAATACAGTTGTATCAAAGTGTGAGCTCAGCAGGGCAACCACACCAGAGGACAAACACAGGAACGTGTGAGCAGATGCAGTACTGATAAGAAATGAGAATCCTCAGAAGAGATCTTTATTCATTCAGTTCAGATTTAATCTCATCTTCATCATCCTTTCTGAAGTATCTTTGCTTCATTACAACATGCAGGACTGTGTTTCTTCTACTCATCTTTCCTACTCCTTTACTAATGTTATGTTAAAAAGCTCTGTAATACACTAGGACAAACAGCAAGCTTTTAAGTGTTGAGAATTTATTTTTAAAATAACAACAATTTGATGTGTCATTTGAGTATTTCAATGAACGTGTTAATTTAGAACAGCATGCCCCAAACACATTCAAAATATGAGATATGAGTTTTCATTAAAGCTCTGTTCACTATGTGTAACTGATTATTTTGAGCAAGGACACGGCTTCGCTTGCAGTCAGTTTGCTGCTGTTGGGGAAATATTTTCCTAGGCCCGTAACTTTGACCAAGTTTATCAGTTTGTACTGCCCTCGCTGAGCACAGCTGCCCTCTCAGTGTTTTGTCTCCCTGTTCCTGCCTGTTGGCGTCAGCTGATAGAGGTGTTATGGTTTTATCTTGTTATATCTCTCAAAGGCTCCGCCCTCTACTGGACTCTATGGGTACTATAATGCAAGCATTCTCCTACTGAGACTAGAGGCGAAGTCCCTCCCCCTCCGGGAGCCTCCATGGGACCCCGGAAGCGGAAAATTATACATTGAAGTCAATGGAGAGAGAGGCTCCCGGAGGGGGAGGGACTTCGCCTCTAGTCTCAGTAGGAGAATGCNTTAAATGTGAACTAAAAGTGATCAAGCATGAACCATCACCATTTTTTTTAAATAAAAACGAAATAATATACAGAAGTTACACTAAATGTTAATTTGTTATTTGACAGGCCAGGCCTGTGCAGGTAGTAACAGCTATGCCCAGCATGGGCTAAGTTCTGTAGGTGCAGCTGGTGCAGGTCCTCCTCCCTCTCAGGACATGCTGTCATAATTACCCTCTGGGTAATTATGACAGCATGTCCTACTATTTTGAGAGTTTTAACAAACCAGACCTGCATCTATTAATGTAGAAAATAATCAGCACATTAAACCAACCACCACAGTTAAGTCAACTCGTGCATCGGTAATGACAATAAAACAAATGATATAATATAATAGTATAACTTGTGTCTAACACTTTCCTAATTATACTAGCATACTTTTACTAAAGTAACATTAACACGTTTAAATGCAGGGCTTTTGTAAGAGAGTATTTGTATAGTGTAGCATGGTCTACTTGACTGATCTAACCGAAGTGATCGTTACGTTACACACACCCCCCCCCACACACACACACACACACACGAAAGGACACGGTAACGTTGTGATTCACTTCAATTAATGATAACTACGGAGCTTGCTAACAGCAAGGCACAAGGCTACTTCACTCATTTAGCTAGCTAATGTAAGATACAAATGCTGTCGAGCCCTCACTGCTTGTAAAATAAAGAGCACAAACTGACTACTTACCCGAGCGGCGAGCCCCACTGTTCTCCGTCATTTTTCTCCCAGGTTGTTGTGATCACATGACTGACAAAGCCGTGCTCTGATAGGCCAGAACTTGGTATGATTGCATTAGGGCTCGATTGCTTATCCTGTCTGAGTAGCCCGGATGATGCTGCATCGCAATTTTGGACACCGAATTTTTTGACGTCGAATTTTTTGGATCTGAATTTGAACATTCACATTTTTTTCACTTGAATTTTTACATTTTTATTTCACATATGTAAATTCGGAGCAAAAACATTCAGATACATGATTTTCAAAGTAATTATTTTCAATGCTATATATTCGGTGTCTAATAAAATTCAAATACTTCTGTCTCTTGTTTGCTTCCATAGGTGTAGCAGTGGGAATAAAACACCCTCCAACACAAAAAACGTCATACCTGAATCCTACTTATCTTCAAAGTCTTGGTTTTGGTTTCAATCGGGCAAATTGTCCCTCAGTTGGTTTGTATTTCTGTGCATGAGTGCAGATGTCCAATGATTGCTGCTGGTGTTAGCCACTCAGCTGACACGGTGAGGTGCTCACACAGTGGCAAGCAACTATTAAGTGTTATCACGAGAGAATGTTGAAGCAAGCAGGGCAATAGAGCTGTTATCTTTCACAGAAGATGGTACAATATGTTGTTATGATGAGTATACGCATACTGCACAGGGAAAAGTGTCACGACTTGATTTTCTGCAACATTTAAAGAGACAAGCATGTATACATTTCAAATGTTTGTATTTTAAGGGAAAATATGTAACATTTCCTCATTTAAATATCTAACTTTATATGTTGTATATGTTGTAGGGTTGTGCACTAACATTATTTCAAATGTTCATAATGAACTTCAAGCTCGGAGCAATCGGTCATTTTAATCAAAGCAACATTAACATTTTAATTGTGTTGCCTGAAAGTGTGTTGTATCAGCATTGCACGTTGGGATTGTCTTCCAGAAGCTGTAACGACTTTTCATCCAGTTTTATTTAACATTTTTACAATTTCTCTGTAAGCGGTTAGCTTGCAGACCCTCTGTCCTGTGTCCACTTGAGAATCACTGATTTTGTTTTTGAAACTGCTTTATTCAGTGTCTTAATGGGTTTTACTGTTGTTTTAGAGAGGAAGACCCCGGGATTTTTTTTTCTGAAAGACGGAAACTGAAGAAATCATAATAGGGAGAACTGCCTGCAACGATGGCATTGGGAGTAAAGACACACATTTCCCATGATTCCACTCTAATACACAACAACACCAAACTCTTTTGTTTTTGATTCAATTTGGAGACCCCTATTGGCAGAAGTTTACATATTGTGCATGTAACCCTGTAAGGCCCACTGTTGTAATTTTTCAACATTACTTTAAGCTATCCTAAAAAAGTCAGTTTACATGTAGAGATATAAATAATCTTTTAAGTGCTTGTATTGAGGAATTCAACAATCGTGTAAACAAATGCTTTATCTCCACACAAACAGTCCCTCGAGCCCCTTGGCACTTGTTCTAGCCCATAAACAAAACAATCTAAAAGACTTAGTCATCAGAAGGCTTTTAAACATTCTGCTTTATTTTTCAGCTATACGCACAACAAAAGGGAGAAACAGAGATGAATAGGCAGAAGACAAAGCCAGGTGCTAAACTGACTGGTCATGCTGTAATGACAAGGCGTAGTCCTTGTTATTAAGGCCTCAAATCAGCGTGTATCTCTTCTGTGTACAAACATTGGCTCATCCCAAAAGCATGCATGTCTGGAAAACCTCTCAGTTAGAGGATGGTGACAATGCTAACCCAGAAAAATGCAGGATTTCTATTATTACAGGCCAATGTGACCCTCTACGCACACAAACACAGAAACAACAATCTCCCGATTCACGTAAACACTGTGCTGGGTTCCCTTGTGTCAAATTATCATGATGACTGGGGCGTTGATCACGCAGCACAAAGACTGGTGAACATCTTCAGTGGCCACTCGATTAACCGCTTTATTACTAAGCAACAGCAGGAACAAATAACACCCACCCAATCTGTCTTTTAAACACACACACAAACTATCCCTTTACATTTAATAGTGCTGTGTCTAATATGGAGGGTGTTTGACAGACAGCATTTTAATTACCCAGAGCCTGGCTGACAACTTAAGCTGACAGAAGCATCTATAGGGCCTCTAACATGTCAGGGTGAAGGTCTTTGAACCGTCAAAATAACATATACGGAGTGTGAGATGGGCGGTGTCGATATCATCATACCATTTAATTCAAGAGCCATGAATAACAAGTGAACAATGCTGCAGGAAGTCCAACAACCTGGGAATGAGTCAGCATTTTTACACTACCAGATCCTACGCTTTGGACACTGATGGAAACTTCTGAAGCAATGGAGACAGGACTCAGAGAGGCACGAGGAGAGCAGGAACTTTGATGGCAAACACTGATGGTTTATTTGGAGCTTCGGCCGGAGAATTCACAAGAAATGTGCTGTGCCACGAGTTGCCAAACCAATTCTAAAGATCTCTAGCCCAGACCCATGTATTTATCTGGTTCTGAGAGAATAATCAACATTGTGCATAACAAGATAAAACCATAACACCTCTATCAGCTGACTCCATAGGCAGGAACAGGGAGACAAAACACTGAGAGGGCAGCTGTGCTCAGCGAGGGCAGTACAAACTGATAAACTGGGCCAAAGGTGTGGGCCTAGGAAAGTACTTTTGACCCTGTTTGCCTGCAACCTTGGGTGCTGTGCTCCCAGTGTTTTGTCTCCCTGTTCCTGCCTGTTGGCGTCAGCTGATAGAGGTGTTATTGTGCTTTGCCTATTTTATCTTGTTATGCACACTGTTGATTATTCTCTCAGAACCAGCTAAATACAGGGGTCTGGGGTAGAGTTCTTTAGAATTGGTTTGGCAACCGCTGTGTCAACTCGTGGCACAGCACATGTCTTTTGAATTCTCAGGCCNTTAACATTTAGTGTAACTTCTGTATATTATTTCGTTTTTATTTAAAAAAAATGGTGATGGTTCATGCTTGATCACTTTTAGTTCACATTTAAATAAATTGTATTTGCACTCCTTTTGTCCGTTATTCTTACTGAAAATGTTAGATTACACATTCACATCCGACTGAAGATTGGCACCGTTTATTTGTGACGTTGCAAACTCTGCGGTACAAGGCACAGGTGATGTGAAGCTCAAAAAGTGAGGCAAATGTATTTGATCAGCTGACTTTTTTTTTTGCCAAACTTTATAGGCCTGACAATAATCACACTGTCTCTGAGGTGCAACGTAAAACACAAAACAACATAAAAATTAAGTTCCCGTTAGATTACAAAAATATTCAGTGAATCTTAGTGAATGTCCTGTAGGCCTACTGCTCTTAAAACTCATAACATCAGCTTTTCCTTTCCCTCTTGGATGTTCTTCTGGACCCTCGGAGAAAGAGAAAATGGTGAAGCAGTCCTGTCCTTTCCTAACAGAAATATCAAAAAACATATTATTGCAGAGCAAGTGTGTTATTTAAGATAGAGGTGTGTTTGTTTGTTCAGGGGCTATAAATATAATGATTTTTTTTATTTGAATGTGTTTTTTAAATCCAACAGTGCACTACAAAGATAATCAGGTTATGAATAAACCGTTCTAAATTCATCAACATTGAAATAAATGTATTATTACCAAGGCACAC